AAACGGTTATTTCTTATGTTGTGGCCTTCATAAAGTCTGAAGAGTTTTGCTGGGATTATATGGGATTGTATTTTTGGTCATCTGAAATACAGAATGACTTAGAATAAGATTATAGATGGATTATTTTTGAATTGGTGTGTAGTCCTACTGAAATGTTTTTAAAATTTTTGAGAGGTTCCACCTTTGAGTAGTACGTAAGAGCACATCCTGAAGAGCAAAGCCAGCATAATGCTCTGGTAGTCCAAGTACAAGCCAGTACTGAGCTTGCAGGATGTTTATTAAGAAAAATTTCCTTAAAAAAAAAAAAAGCTGTAAATACTTGTTATATAGCCTTTATATAACTTCAGGCATCCATAGGGTGGGTGATTTCATTGATATGTTTATCTTTCAAGACAAATACAGCATTCCGGAATGAATAACTGACTTGGATGGTGGGAAGATAGAAACATTTAATTAGTTCTTGTCCTCTCTCTTCCTACCATTTGATCCTTTGTTACTCTTCTGGAAGCAGTATGGAAGCCCTGTTGATTTTGGTGATTTCCTTTTTCTGTTTTGGGTTGTTTTTTTTGGGGGGGTTGTTTTTTTTTTTTTAATGGCTTAATACAAATTAAGTGTTCTTTTTCCACTCCTCCAAATCTGCAGCAACCTCTCCTAACTTTGCAGAAAGTCTGCAGATTTTTTTTTTTTTTTTTGGCTTACCATGGAAGCATGCTGTGATTGGAGGTTGTTCCTTAAAGCAAAGGAGAACATAAACCAGCAAAGGAGAACACAAACCTGCAAAGGAACTTCAAAATAGTCGGAGACTGATTTGAATTGAGCAGCTATGATGTAGTTTCATCACTCAGGAAAGAGGTTACATGTTTTAATAACAATTAGTTAACTTTGCTTTTTTGCTAGTTAGAAAGCTGTTCCAGCATGCCATTGTTGTGATCATTAGAATCTAAATTTCAGTTTTCACATTTGAATGTTGCTTGTAACTAATTTTCATTTGTTCCTATGCATTTAAGTAGAGTAGGTCTCTTCCTGCTAAAGGTCTTTTTGTATATGCATACAAAACCTTCCCGTTTCTTTAGTGTCCATGTGAAGAAGGTGAGCTCTTAACTTTTCCATTATCATGATGAGTGGAAACATTTCTCTGTAGCTGTTCCACTTAGAATTTACTTATCTTGAACATGGGAAGCAAAAATTAATGTATATTGCTTTGGAAGAGTTTGTTCTTATCGTTGTCTGCTTGTCTAGCATGTGTGCTTTTTCTCTTCTGGATATACTTCTGGTATATTTTAGGATTATAATTTTCTTTTTGTTGCATTACATGTGATGCATTGCAATGAATACACAGTGATCTTTCTCCCTCTTTTTCCACCTAATTGCATCAGTCTCTTAATGTGAAGGATGGGAGAGAACGTTATCTACCTAAGGCTAGTAGAGGTTTAGTTCACTGACTTTTTAAACAGTGCTGACAACTTGCATTGGAAGGCATGATAGAAATGTGTAGTGTTACTGTGTGTAAACTGAGTTCCATTATTTTTTCTGGCAGTAAGTGTGCTAGTAAGTTATTTCTGATAATCTTACTATGTTCATGACCTATTGCATTTTGTCCTGTTGGCTTTTAATTGCTTCAGTCAATATCATTTCTGCTGTGTCCCAAATCTGTTCTCAGTGATGATTTCTTAATGTTCATTTCATCCACAGGCTCTTAGATTTTCTGTAGTCACTAACAGAAATGCCTGGCTTGAGGAACTTCACTGATAGCATCCTTTTAGCTCTGTCTTTCCAAAACCAGTAACTGTTACTCTTTCTTTAGCAAGTTTACCTACTCTGCATTTCTCCTACTAATCACAATCTGTTCCATTTGAACTAAGTTTTCAGTGCCGTACCATGGCTGTGAAATCTGGCTAGGTTGAATGAATTATATTTTCTTGGTGTAAAAAAAATCAGTTATTTTACTGAAGAAAGTCTGCTAAGTTTGTCTGGTACACTCACTGATCATTTTTCATTTTGCTTGATTTTTTTCTTTCTCCCATGTCTTTTACTTTTCTTAAAAACTAGGTTTTAAGTCTTTCGTACTACCTGTTGATAACAGGTCAGAATGACTTATTATTGAGGTGGTACTACTCTGTTCTCATACAACAAATTATGGACCTGAGACGTTACTTTATGTGCTAGTTTCACACCTCTATTCTCCCTGGTTTGTGGGAGAACAATAAGCTCTCTTCAAAACTGAGAGGAAAAGAATAACTTCCCTTTTCCATTCTCTTATTTCATCAACATTCCTCCCTTTGTGATGTACAAATGTCCATCTGTTTCCTTGCTAGTGAAAATGCAGGCACATAGCTTAATTCTTGGGGTTGAGACTAAAAGTAATCTTAACTTAGTCATCATTGTATAGCATCACTGGTTCTTCCCTGTTCAAGGCTGAAGAATCCTTGCTACTTCCTTTGTGCTACCAGCAGTATCTTAACACGTTCACTCTTGGCAACCCTGTGTTGGGACAGCTCTTAATTGACCAGTGCTTTTTCTGTGCTTGTGGGCTGTCTCTTCCCTTCACCACTGATACCCTTTCATTCAGCAGGCAAAGGTTCCAAACAGAATAAACAGTTTATCTTATTTGGGATACAGTCTTAATATAGTTCTTGCATCTTTGATTTAAAAGGGATGAAGTGGGAAAAGCAGCTTCCTTCTTGCTCAAGTCCCTTATTTAGCTTGCTGAAGTTACAGCTTCACTTATTCACTACAGTGTCCCATTTTGCAACTTGGCATTTAGTTTCTGTTCCAAATGACCAAATCCTCTGTGTTAGCTTTATTATTGAAGAAAATCCATTGTGAAGTGTCATTTATTAATTCAAAAATATTTTTGTTTAAACGAATTCTACTGGGTAGCACACTCTGTCAGGCTTTGCCCTTTAATTTGTAATAGTAATTATATCTTGGAAGCTTATCCCCAACAGTAATTTTTGTTCTTACAGTATTAAGGATCTTTATTTCCAAGTAATTGTACATCAGACTTGAGGGGTTCTACTAAAAGGTCTTACTGCTGTCCTTTCCAAAAGCAGTCTTTAAACCAGATTCTGGCCACATTTAGAGTAAAACTATTTGCACTGTACTAATCACTGAATAGTAGTAGATCACTATTCTTTTGCTTTACATAAGAAGGTAGTGTCTTCCAACTGACACTCTCATTCCCAGGGGCTTCTTGAAAATGGTCCATCCAAACCATGTCTTGCTAGGAATGATTAAAAAAAACCCACCATATTAATAGTCGGATTTTTTTTTCCTTCTATTTCTTATTTTTCCCCTCACCATGGTTAGCAAATAGTTCTTCCCACAACGTGCCTTGTTTTTCTTGTAAAGCAAAAAGTCTTCAAATCTTAGGCTACAGGAGAACCCTGAAATTCTATTTCTGAAGGACTTGAGTGTGAGGAAGCTTGATACTTTCATGTTTCCTTTGTTGGAGGAAGGGAAAGGGAACAGAAATCTCTATGTAAGTACTCCTTTTCCATGTTTTTGCTATACATCTGCAAAGCTTATTCTTGGGCTGAAGATCCTTCCCCTTTCCACCTGCCTCCCCAAACTGTCTCCCTTTAATACAGTGAGCTTTCTATGTTAAAAAAAGCAGCACTAAGTTGTAACTTTGGCTTGGTTGTTGGATCTTGCTTAGCCTAAATGAAGTCTGCGTTCTTAGCTGTTATGATGTTAGTGTCACTCGCTTGAAACTCTGTTTTAATTTTCCATCTCTTTCTATAGGATACTTCTGTTAAGAATTCATTTCTTCTGGAATAATGGGCAAAATAGAACATAAAACTTGCATTGGCTTATCTTCCTCTTGCTAATCCAGAAACTTACTTGACTTCTATGGAAAGTACATGTAGTAAGAAAGATCTTTATCAAACACCTGAAAGCACTGGTAATAGGTGTAGCAGCCTCTGCCATTGGGGGGGGTGTGCAGGGGTGTGGGTGTGGATGTGTTTTAAGACCGTGGGCAAAAGGTTTAGCCTTCTTGCCTTTGTCTCGGCCTGTAAGATAGTGAGAGCAGTACCTACCTCACAGGTTTTTCCGAGGCTTGGTTTGTTAACTTTTTAAAATAATGCTGATGGCCTCTGGAAGGTGCTACAGAAGTGTATAGTGTTACTGCCTGCAGGCTGAATACCATTGTTTTTTTCTGGCAGTATATAGGCCTGCCACAGTTAGGGAAAG